CCTCCCCATCTTCCATCCCCTCACCTTTCTCCCCCTTCTCCTCAAAATCCTCGTCCCCTCTCACCCTTTCACATTGTTTTTTTGTTTCCTTGGTTGTTGTGTCACATTGCAACTCGCTCCCTCTTCTTCTTCCTCTTCCTATCACACTGTCTTGCATGGATCGCTCGTTCCTCACCGTCACCATCATCAGTGCTATGGACACGAGGTCGGCATGATTTTATTTCTACAGCTACAGAGATGCAACCTCTGGAGGATGAGCTGCAGAAGAGGAGGTCCAAGCAGAGGTGGACAAGGAAGCAGAGTGGAGGAGGAAGTGGATAAAGGGAAGATGGGAAAAGTGACAAATTGAGAAAGAGAAACAGAGGAGGAAGAAGAGGACCAGGACCAGAGAATCAAGGGAGGACAAGCAAGATATATAACGTAGTGAAGCACCGGTGATTGGTTTCTTCTTTCCTCTTTTTCTTTTTCTTTTTTTGTTCTTTTTTTTCCTTTTTACAAAAGGTCCAGGGTGTAGGAGAGGGTGGTGGCCAGGCCTCAGGAGATGCCCGTAGTACTCGTCCATTGGGAGGTCGGATCGATTGCGAGGACCAAGGGGGGGGGAGTCGCCTCAAGATGGCACCATGGTACCATGATGCTCAGATCGCAGGTCGTGTGATCTGCGCCAACGCTTACCTGACTAACCCGAACGTTTTCGTGCAGACACTACCCTCCCATAACTCTAATGTTAAGGACGACCCGGGCACAGGTGAGGTCCATGCATATGCAGTCATCCCGCATCCGTGCCTCTATGGGCAACAAACTGCCCTTCCACTAAGATGCGATATCCTGCCCTCCCCTATCCTAAGCATGATGCCTTCCTACCCCAGGCTCCCCAAGAATCCACAGTCCCGACTAATTCCCCCCAATGAGAATTCCCACGGACCTCAACCTGGATGAAGCACGACCCGCAGGCATCGTGAGATACCTGTGGGATGAGAAGTACCCAGTACCTACCCCATACTAACACCCAGTGCGTGCGTAGGATTATCCCCCCCGAGATGGGCCCTACCGTAGTCTAAGTTCGCTCTGTGTGGACTCTCGTACGGGTGCCATAGTGACGGGAAACATGCTAGCTGTACCCAGGCTCGACCATGGCACCCCCACGGACTAGTACAAACTGGCGAGACTGACAGGTCGGAGGGTCCAAGTGGCCACACAGAGGTATCGACGGTTTCGACAATTTTGGCAGTTTTGTGGTTATCGACAGTCAAGGCAGTCTTTCGGTTTTTGACAGTCTAGGCAGTAAGCTCTCCCCCTTTATTCTACCCTAAGCCAAGATAAGACCCTGATCCTCAGACCCCCTAAGACCGAGCACTCAAGCTGCCCTTCCTATGGCCCTATCAGGCATACTACAATCATGGACCTAGACCCCTTGGGCGGTGAGCAGGTTCTTCTTTCCCTGAATAGTTTCTTTTTCAGTAGCTGCTAATACACAGAATTGTTATGACCCTGGCCAATTTCGAGATACACATCCACCGGAAAGTACAATGCCATCCAATTGCAGAAAGAAATGAATGAACTTGAGAGGAGAGAGAGAGGATTAGAAGAAGGAGAAGAAGTAAGAGAGAAGAAGAAGAAGATGAACACCAGCAAAGACAATGACAAGGCTCTTCTTCTTCGCCCAACAATCTCCTCCTCCTTATCTCCCCCTTCTCTTATTCATACAAGGAATAATAATACAATGTTGAATGACTGATCCAGAATCAATATCCGAGTCCCTCTTCTGCTGCAGGTATCACTTAAGGTCCACCATAGCCATGGCCACCTCTCCCACTCTTCACTCTCATAGGCCGAGGCTATGGCGGACTACTGGTGATGCCCAAAGGACAACCCAAAGCAGCTATGGCTGCTCTAGCTCAGGCCGCCATGCCTGACCCTGCCCCGAAACTTCTTGGTGTAGCTCTCCCCAGCTGGGGACTCCCTGCTGCAGCGCCCACCAAGGTGATGAAGATGGCTGCCACCATAGCCAGGTAAGTAACCCTGGCGCTCCTCCCCTTTCCTTCTTCCTCCGTCTTCCTCCCTCGTGTCCTTCTCCTTCCTCCCCAGCAGCACTGCTCCAGCTTAGCGCTGCTCCAGCCAGCGCTCCACCAGTGTGTCGCCAAATTTGCGCACCGAAAAAGAGGCCGGACTCTCCGCCCGGCCAGAAGATATAGCGGCCTGCTTTGCCTCTTGGGCGGTGACTTCCAGGCCGCTCGGCCTCCCAAGCAACCGGTACCTCCTCCCTTTCGGAGGAAAACATCATTGCAGACTCTGATATTGCCCGTACAGGCCCTAGACCCAGACTGGTTGGACTGATATCTGCCTAGACCTAACCTACAACTACTGGGCCTCTAAAAATGCCACTTTTGTCTTCTTCTGCTCGGCCTCCAGTACCTGCACATCTACCCCTTCCAGGTGCAGTACCGGCCTACCCGCTACTTGAGTGTTTTTCCCCGCTGCAACCCCTCAATGTCACGGCCACAGGTAAGTACCGGCCCTGAGGGCCCAACGAACGAGCAAGTGCCCTGACGGGCCACACACATACTCATGCCAACCAGCACTCAGACAGGCACGGTCACACACACACCCAAGCCAACCAACACTCAGACAGGCATGGTCACACACACACTCAAGCCATCCAGCACTCAGACAGACATGCAGTCCAGCAAGCGTGCACACACAGACTTAGTAGCAAGCGGGAAACTCAGCAGGGCATTCAGTCTATGGGCAAAACTCAGAAATCAGTTGTGTTTCAGTCCATGTATGGACGGGTTATCACACTACTCCCCCCTCAAGAGTGAGGTCCCTTCGAGCGAGTAACTCATTCTGAGTCCTCGACAAACGCATCGTAAGCGAGCAAGGCAAAGAGGTTCCTAGAGTACTCTGTTGCAGTGAGTCTTGCAGAGATCTTAGGTACAGCGTTAGTAGCGATTTGTCGCTCGTATGCTTTGACAGCACGCGGTGCACTGCGTAGCAGTTCCTGTTTCGAAATCCAGTACAGATCGTCTAATGGGTGATACATGAAGTGAACCAGGTACTGTCTGTTGCGTCCCTTCCCTACGTGCTGTTTGATCCTGTCTATCTCATGCCCGCCATTGATTGCGCGAGGGATCATATCTTCGCGATAATCGATTGTCTTAGCATCACGGTGGAGGTACAGTCTGGATGCGTGGAATACGGGGTATGTGCGCAGATGGACTGGCACATCGACGACGTACGAAGGGCCAAAGTGATCTTCACCAATCACATCCAAAACTTCCCAGGGCCCATAATAGAGAGGGAGAAGTTTGCGTGAGACTCCCTCTTCTTCTGAGAATTCAGACATCTTGACCCAGACATAGCTTCCTACCTGAATATCCGACGGTCGGCGCTTCTTGTTCTCATGATGGATCATGGTGTGCTGTCGCTTGGTCATAGCTGCAATGGCAACTTTGAGCAAGCGATCATACTTGGCCCTGAAGCCAGGTCTGCCGGGTGTTAAACCAGCTGGCTGCTCAGGGAATAGGTAAGAGAGCGGATTCCGGATCTGCCAACCGTAATGCAGCCTGTTGGGTGTCATGCCGGTGGCGGAGTGGACAGAGTTGTTGTATAACCCCTTAACGGAATACAGCTCTTCATCCCATGTTTCCTGATCCGGGATAATCAAAGCGCGAAGAAGTTGAAACACAGTCTGGTTGATCTCCTCAACCAAACCGTTGGCTTCGGGGTGTCGGCTAGATGTCATACATAGCTTGATCCCCAGTTGAGACGTGAAATCCTTTCACTCAGTACTAATGAAGCGCGGATCCTGATCGCTCACAAGAGTCTTCGGGGTTCCGAACTGCAGAATGTACTTTTGTTGGAACTCACGAATCACTAGTTCTGTTGGGGTGTGAGGCGGCAAAGAGATCAGGTTGAGGAACTTAGAGAATCAGTCAACAATCACCATGACTTGTGAGTAGCCGCTCTTACTTACCTTTCCCATGTCGGTGAAGTCGATGGAGACGGACTCCCAGGGACCATCGGGAATGGGTAGGGGTGTGAGTAACCCCATCGGCTTTTGTCTGCATGGTTTGATTCGTTGACAGACTTGGCATTCAGCCACAAATTTTTCAGCAGTCCCTTTCATGTCAGGCCAATCAAATTGTCTCAGCAAATTTGCATATGTTTTTGCCATACCGAAGTGGTCCGCTCCGGCCATGAGCCAAATCCAGAAAGTGTGTGCGGAGAGGCTCATGGTTAGGGACACACAAACGGTCGTGGTTCCCGTAGCGACGAAAAAATCAGCCCTCCATACTCGTGAAAATCAGGCTGATTGTTGGGGTCAGCCTGTAGCCGCTCAAGGATGGAACTCAGCTCCGGATCCTTGCCGGTGTGCTCTACGAGCTCCTCCTTCAATTTCTTCCGGAGGTCGTAGGATTTTACAAGGCAAGTCATGTACTCAGGGTGGCGAGACAATGCGTCAGCGACTCGATTATAACAGCCCTTTTTGTGTCTTAATTCAAAATCGAAAATGTCAATCTCATGGAACCAGCGAAGCAAGATAGGGGACAGGGTAGTTTGCTGTTTGATCCACTTCAGAGTCTCATGATCTGAGAAGACTTTGAAGTGGGGTCCCAAAAGGTAGTGTTTCCAGTGGTCCAACGCCATACGCAAAGCATAGAGCTCGCGCATGTAGGTGTAAGTGGCTACCTTTACTGTAACGAGCGTGAGGCTGAGGGTGAGCCGAGGGAGAGGAGAGAGAGGGAGAGAGTGAGAGCACACACACACACTCACTCACTCGACACGACAGACTCAGACTGAGGATCGGACGCAGACACAGTGGCAAGGCACAAAGTCGAAGTCTTGGATTCCGAATGCCGAAACAGCAAGTCACACTGAGTACGAGTACAGCAGCAGGGAACTGGTACGAGTCCGGGCCCCGTACCGTACGGGGAGCCGGTATAAGTACCGGTGACACGTACGGTACAAGGGGCATTTCTGCAAAGGCCCCGAGGGCAGAACTGGAAAATGCAGTATTTGAAAGTGGCGCCCGAATTGCAGCATGGCGCCAGTTGTCCAAAATCCTACGGTACCAAAGGAGGGGTTTGGAAAAAGGGTGCCAGGCCGAAAACGGGATGCAGCTGAAACAGCAAAAGGTAGACCAGGGATCGAGCCCTGGCAGAGTCCGTAACATTTACGCTGGGCATGCGTTTGCTGTAGTATTCAAGTGGCCGCAAGCCATCGTCGTCATCTTGTTCCAGCACTGCGTCGATTCCATACTGACTTGCATCCGTAGTAACTACGAATGTCTGTTTGGGATCTGCAATGCGGAGTACCGGGTAACTTACCAAGGCGTCCTTCAAGGCTTGAAAGACATTCGTGCACGTGGTGTCCCAAGAGTAGGGAACATTCTTACTTGTTAGTCGAGACAATGGACGCGCAACAATGGAGAAGCGGGGCACAAACTTCCGATAGTATGACGCGAGACCAAGAAAAGAACGCAGTTCGCAAATGTTCACGGGTTGAGGCCAGTTGCGTACGACCTCCACCTTGGTTGCTTCAGGCTTTAGGCCTGCAGCAGACAACCGGTGCCCAAGATAGATGACACTATCCTTCCCAAACTCAGATTTCTCTAAGTTGAGATGGAGTTGCGTCTTCTTGAGGATGGTCAGTACTTCCTCAAGGTGCTTGAGGTGTTCCTTCATGGGCTTACTTAAGATTAGAATGTCATCGAGGTCGACCACCACGAACCGGCCAATCTGTTCACGGAGGACTTTGTCCATGAGGCTTTGGAAGGTGGTCGGTGCGTTCGTGAGACCGAAGGGCATTACGGTAAACTCGTAAAGCCCATCGCGTGTCTTGAACGCAGTCTTCTGCTGGTTCGCAGGATCGACTTCAATCTGGTGGTAGCCAGACTTGAGATCGATCTTGGAGAAGACCTTGCACCCACCTGCGGCATCAAGCAAGTCATCTATACGAGGCAATGGATAAGCATTCTTTCTTGTGATGCGGTTTAGATCGCGATAGTCAATAGACATGCGGAGTTTGCCTCCTTTCTTTGGAACAAACAACACAGGACCACCAAATTCAGATTCGTTGGGCTTGATCCACCCCTTGTCAATCATCACATCAATCTGTCGTCGGAGTTCCTCCAACTCGTCGGGTCCCATTCGG